CTCAGATGCAAGCTTGGGTACAAGGTGCCATTGCTAAGATTAGTAGCACAACTGATGGAGTGTCCACTGCAACTTCAAACCCCATAAGTGGTCCATCTTCTTTCATGCCAATAAGCATCAATACTGGAACTTTTCCTGGAACACCAGCAGTGAGGCTCATCGGTGACTGCCATTTCCTTCACAGATTATGCCAGCTTCTGCTCTTCTGTTTTTTCTTTCGGCGGCGAACTCAAGTACCTCGCTTTGCCGGAGGTACTCAGAGAAATCCCACTGATACGAATGTGCAAAAACCTCAGTCTGGTGCTCCTGGCAAGGTGGAGGAGATCAACTCTGTTTCTTCAAAGCCAGCACCAGCTGTGGTTCGGTCGGATGAAGGTCAGGCAGTTCGAGGTAGTCAGGTAGTGCCTGGAGCTAAAGCAGTCGAAGAGGGAACTGCTGGCAGGCACAGAGTAGGCAGTGGCAATGCTGGCCAAGGATACAGTTCTGAGGAGGTAGAAACTGTTGCTCTTTAATTTCTTCTAGTCTTCACATGTTACGAAGAATCTTCATTAGACTTTTGGTTTCTTATCTGGCTAAATTGCTTTACTTTCAAGTCAATCGCTCAGTGTTTGGGCATCCGAAAGGTTTTTGATAGTTCTCTCGGTTAAGGAAACAATCAGTCAATCAGCAGTGGTACCCTAGATTAAGATAAAGTCTCATTCTTTGTTGCGATGCAGGTGAAGGTCCTTTTCCTCATACTCATGGATCTGTGTCGGCGAACAGCAGCTCTGGCACACCCATTGCCGGTTTCTCAAGTAGGAAGCAGCAATATCCAGGTGCGGTTGCATTATATTGACGGCAATTATACTGTATTGCCAGAGGTTGTAGAAGCATCTCTTGGCCCACATATGCAGGTATCTATGCTTATGATTTACTCCTGTAAATGAACCTTTCGTTGTTTGGAAGTAGCTTTCTTTTCTTTTTTGACCAGGATAACCCTCCACTTTTCTTTCTGTATTTTTTTGACAAACAACTGTTTTCTTAACTTTATGTTACATTTTGTTATGGAATCCATAGAACATGCCACGGCCCAGAGGTGCAGATGCTGCTGGTCTGTTACTCCGAGAGTTAGAACTACACCCACCATCTGAAGAGTGGCACAGGCGGAATATGTTTGGCGGACCCTGGTCTGATCCAGAGGATATGGGTTCAGAGGATACTTCTAAGCTTAACTCCACAGATTCACTTGATTTTAGCTCACTGGAAAATTGTGATGTTTATTATGGAGCTCATGGCCTTTGGCCAAGGAAGCGCAGATTGTCTGAAAGAGATGCAGCTGTTGGCTTGAACACTTCTGCTGGCCTGGGAGCATATCTTGGCATAATGGGTTCTCGAAGAGATGTTGTTACTGCAGTGTGGAAGACTGGTCTTGAAGGCGTTTGGTACAAGGTCACTCCATTTTTCTTCTCCCTCTCTTATTTGAATATTTTTTTTGTTTGGATCTCGTCAGTTATTTTTTTATTTTGTTATTCAGCCATCTTTTCTGTAGGATTACTGAATTAAAAAGGAAAATCCATTTTTATGTTACTGGTAAGTTTGTGTCATGTATCTAGAAGAAGGTACTCAACATAATTATGCCTTGAAGTGAATTTAGTCGTTGCAAGCTAGTGAATTATATTCCCCTGTTATCCCCTATACACTGCCTCATCCACCACAAGATGCTTAAAACCCAATTCCCTTTAGTACCTACGTAGTTTTAGCTTGGTCCTGTACCAGCACACCCAAGAGTTTTCACAGCACATGGATGATCCCATGAAGGGATTCCTTGAGTTATGGATCTCTTTCCTTGGTAACCATGAGGTGGAAGGCATGTAGTTGGCTGTAAATGCATTATGCAATTGAATTTCTGTCCGGGTGCGTTTTTGTGTTTCACAAGGAAATCAACAATCATCCCTCATGCATCTTCCTTTTTCCTTATCTGTGATGCTGTACCATTATTGGTCATGCATAATCCATTAACCACTCTAATTTGGATATTACTTTAGAGGTTATGGTATTAATGATATCACTGGAGATATATAATGGTGTTGGGTTGATGTTAGGAGCTGAAAACATGCCCAAAGATACATACTCCTTGAGCTCTACTTCCCCAACTTACATAAGAGGAGGATCAACCATGATTACTCACGGATCTGACTTTTACGTGAGTGGAGCATTTCTCTGGGAGTGCTGAAATATATTTCCTTGGACACAAGGATGAATGGTCAAGAGGCGATTTACTAGGTTTTGGTTCTCGTGGTTCATAATATGGAAATGGTCCAACATTATTTTCAATTTAATTGTGGTGCTAGGGAATGAAACATGTGAACTGCTTTGTTTATGATAAGATATGTTTCTCTTGCATAATATGTTTCCATCAGAGATAACAATCTGCAAAGGAATAACCTCACTCATAAAGTTTCTCTCTCTTGCCATATAACCATTAGTGTTTATTTTTGTTGCAAATCCTCTTCCCTCTCTGGATGCGTGGATATGCCTGTAATCTATTATGCTTATCTAACATTATTGTTATTAATGCAGTGCATAAGATGTTTGCGGCAGACTTCGGCTTTGGCTTCCACTGGTGCTGCAAATCCACCAGATCAAAATGAAAGAGAGGCTTGGTGGATCAGCCGTTGGGCCTATGGCTGTCCAATGTGTGGGGGGACATGGGTTCGAGTTGTATAGACGAGACTGCAATCACAAATGTTAATTAGATGCAGTTTTCCACTTCCATGACAATCAATTCAAGGTGGTGCGTGCATGACTGAAATGTTAATTAGCTGCGGCTTTCCACTTTTTTGACAATCAATTCAAGGCAAGCGCATGCAGTAGCTGATGTTGAAGAAAGCAGCACTCTTCGATGGTAGTATATTATATGTTCCTTTTTGTAGTTGCTGGTTGGAGCTTGGAAGTAAAGAGGGGCCGTTAGCCTTGCAGAAGTGGAAATTCATCCGTTTGTCCTATGCATCAGCTGTCTGGTGTTTATGTAACGGCGTTTAAGTTCCTCAGCTCGACAGCAACAGTTTTGGAAGGAAGGCTAGTGTGTTTTGGAAAATTTTCAGGAGAGCTCCATTAGTGAAGGTTCCCAGCATTTCACATATAACATTTGCTTTTCCTTTTAATGGAAGTGACATTACCTGTACATTATAGATACGAGAAATTGATCAGGATAGTAGGTGTGAATGTAATAGATCCATGTCTGTTTGAGACAACATTAATCATTTATTAGTATGATGCCCTGGTTTCTCGTGTTGCAGCATCCAATAAAAAAATGTCCAGTCTTGTTAACCCATCAAAAAAAGTCACACACTGTCTCTCTGCAAAATATGACATGTTGGGGAGCAAGAAATGAGAGCTGTCTTTTGCTTACCCTGTAATATTTGCCTTCCTATCCCTCACTTGGTTGGATCCACTCTCTTCACCCGGTGGGTATTTAATTACTTTTTTTTTTTCTTTTTCCTGCAACTATTATTTATCCTACTATATTATAACAAAAATACACTATTGTAAAATTAGGAAATTTATGAGTTTTAATTTCCAACCTATTGAAATATTAAATTAAAAAAATAATTAAAAGGTAAATTAGAGAATAATTTTGGATTTATTATAACAAAAGTTAAATAATACAAAAAAAATCACTAAATTGTAATAGTAATTTTACTTTTTATTTTTTTATGAGATATTTCTTTAATTGTTTGTGTTTTTTATTTCTTTTCTCTCTTTATACATGGATTGGATAATCATAATTGACTTATCGCAAGACTTCCGAGAAAGTCTGTAACACGTGTCCAAGAAAGCTTTGATTTTGTATGAAATGGATTTTTCTCCATGGAATAAACATGATGGGTGGACTTTATTATCTATAGTTGTTTCTCGTCAAAACTCTAAGATGATTACTAGGTCTAATATTTTTTTAATTTAATAATTTGATGAATTTCCGATGTAATTTTTATTTTTAGATTTTAATACTTCATTTTTAATTAGCTAGGTTTTAAGTTTTTCTAGGGTTGTGATGGTAAAAATAAAGTTCCTATATGGTGTTATATAATATAAGGGTGGTTTAAGTAGCTGATTTTATGAATAAAAGTATAATAAAAAAATAAAAATCATCTTATATTTTAGGATTCATTTTTTTTGAAACGTACTTTTTAGAAAATTAATATTTTTAAAGAATTTTACTAATATTAATAGTTTCTTAAGGGTATAATATTTAATCAAAAGTTTTAAAATAATCTTGCTTTTATACGTAATTATGAATTGATTTCATGATTTAAGAAGTATTCTAAGTTTTAACTTGGATATAAATAGAGATTTTTCTTGATATTAGTGAGATCTAAAATACAATATTTTATAATAAATGTGATCTAAATATTTATTTTTATAAATTAAAAAAAAGCAAGTTAACGAGATTATATTATTTTTTCTTAAGAAAAGTAAGTTAACGAGATTATATTATTTTTTCTTTCATAAAAAAACATGTTTTTATATCCAACATTTATAAGCTTGGTAAAAAATCTAAATGACATGGTTCTAACTTGTTTCTAAACCTAATATTTTTAAATAAATCTAAATATTGAGCAATAAATATAAGTCTGAAAAATTATCAAATTCACTGTTTTTTCATTCTTAAACCCAATATTTTTTAAATAAATCTAAAAATTAAACAATAAATATAAATCTGAAAAATTATCAAATTCACTGTTTTTTATCATTGACATTATACTTAATCTAAATAAATATGAACTCAACAAGTTACAAAATTCATTTCATTGTCTTTACATTTAAAATTAAATATTAATCTTATTTCAAAATATTTGTTAAATATCATATTAATTATATAAAAAATAAATTAAAATAAATTATCAATATTAAATATTAATAAATACACAATCTACTACTATTTTTTTTTATAAAAAAACTAACACCAATCCACAGTTTTTTTCTTATTTAATCTTAAAACTACTAATAAGAAGCACCCTTTGCTGGGTTGCCCGATGCCATTTCAAACTGAAAACGACACCGTAATAGCTAATGCGAAATCTCATTTCCAGTTTCTTCTTCAACTCGCTTCTCCTTCTGCAGTTGTTGCTTCTCTTTCTATTCACCTCTCCCTTCCTTGTGGGCAAAATATTCTCAAACAAAATAATTAATCCAGTGCAAACAAAAACAATCTCCAAATCATGAGCACGCCACCAGCTACCCAATCACTAGCCTTCCGTGTAATGCGATTATGCCGTCCATCTTTCCACGTCGACACTCCTCTCCTTCTGGACCCCTCCGATCTCATTCTCGGTGAAGACATCTTCGACGATCCTCTCGCCGCCACTCACCTCCCTCCACTCATCGACACCCACCTCACCAATCCGATCGACTCCTCCGATCTAAGTTACCGCTCTCGTTTCCTCCTCCAAAACCCCTCCGATTCCTTCGGTCTCTCTGGCCTCCTCGTCCTCCCGCAATCCTTCGGGTTCCACCCCCTCCTCCCCCCCCCTGTTTCTCTAAAATTTCTCTATCTCCCTCTAAAACTAACTTTTTTTAAATAATTTTATTTGCGTAGGGCCATTTATTTGGGAGAGACGTTTTGCAGTTACGTTAGCATTAATAACAGTTCTAATTTTGAAGTTAGAGATATTGTAATTAAGGTTAGTAGTGTCATTAACTTTAATTTACATGTTAATTACTTGTGATATTCCTGTAATTTTGAGCTTTTTAATAACGCAGGCTGAAATGCAAACGGAGAGACAAAGGATTTTACTGCTAGATACCTCAAAAACACCTGTTGAATCAATTCGAGCCAGTGGCCGTTACGATTTTATTGTTGAACATGATGTGAAAGAACTCGGAGCTCATACGTGAGTTTGTTTGGTTTTTTTTTTTTTAAAATTGAATGCGAGTGTGTAATGCACGCACGCACGATACTAGATTGTGGATGTTTTTAATGGTTGTGTGGTGTTTGTCGTGATTTGTAGGTTGGTTTGTACTGCTTTGTATACTGATGGTGATGGCGAAAGGAAATATCTGCCGCAGTTTTTCAAGTTTATTGTTGCAAATCCGCTTTCGGTTAGGACTAAGGTATGTTTCTTGTTCTGCGAATGTGTGAACAAAATCATTTCATGTGTGTTTAGGTTAATTATTTCTGAATTTTGATTTTAATATATTTGTCTTTGTGCTGCTTTCTTGGCAGGTCCGTGTAGTCAAGGTATGTTCAACTTTTTTCTACTGTAAGTTAAGATCTTGTCTGGATAAATATGTGATACTTTTAGATTTTATTAACGAATATTGGAGTAAATGTAATGGAAACCAACAAGTAGTTTCAGGATTATTAATTTTTTATTAATTTTGCAACACTGGAGAAATCTTTAGTTTTTTCTTTCTTTACTTGTTTTTGAAAAACGAATATCTAATGTGGGGGTTAGTATGTGAATGATGTATGTTTGAGGTAGCTCTCGTGAAAGAGGGCTATTTTTAGTGCCAAGATGGTTTTATACATGTTAATCCTGGATTAGAGCAAACTAAAGTAGGCTTCATTGTGATGCAGAGATCCCAATTATGCAATCATATATTTTTACCTGAAACTCTTCAGTTATGCTACTCTTGAGTCTTGACTTAAGGTCAATTTACCACTCTGGTACCAGTTTGTACACTTGTATTGATCCAGATTAAGCTCACTAGTCTTCCTTGCTTAACAATTCTAATATCAATAATGATTCTTCAAAGATTTTGAAATACTTTCTGAATTATGTTGGCATCCTTTGGATATATTGTATCTACAAGTTTTGCAAGGCCGTTTGGGAATGTATTCTTGTTTGTTTATTCTTCCTGTAAGTGCTGCTTCCTGTATCTCAGGAAACTACATATTTAGAGGCATGCATTGAGAATCATACAAAAACAAACCTTTACATGGACCAAGTTGAGTTTGAGCCAGCTCCAAATTGGAGTGCAAAAATTCTAAAAGCTGACGAACACAAATCTGAGGATAATTCTCCATCCAGGTGTGTAACAGGTGTATTATTTGGGACAGCTTCCCTCAACTCAATACATTATATGCTTCATTTAATTTCCGTTGTGTGTGATTGCATTTACTCATGAACTTTTCAGAAGCTTGAGTGAAACTGATCTTATCAAGCTTTAATTTTTGCTACTATCAATCATACACTGCTGACAGGGAAATATTCAAGCCACCTGTCCTTGTTAAATCTGGTGGAGGAATTCGCAACTATCTTTACCAACTGTCACTGTCCTCACATGGTTCAGCAGAGAGTAATGTTCTTGGTAAGCTTCAGATAACATGGCGCACAAATTTAGGCGAACCTGGTCGCCTACAGACACAGCAAATACTTGGCACTGTAAGTATGCTGCAGTGGTATTGAAAAAATTGATGCTTCATTTCTATGTTGACATGCAATCACTTGCTAAAGAAACTTTCTTCAAGAAATTTAGTTTTTCAAAATTTTATTACACCTGCATCTTATCTCCTCTTACTGTATTGATTTTACTAGTACATTGTGATATGATTATCCATAGAAATATGTTAAAAATTGTTTCTTTTGGGGTTCTATTCACATATGTGCATTCACACAAGTTGTCCTTGTGTCTGCTGTGTATAGGAAACATGCACATACATATTGCTTCAGTATTGTACTTAGCATCTGGGAATTTTCTTCTGCAGCCCATCACGCCTAAGGAGATAGAGTTACATGTTGCTGAGGTTCCATCTGCCATCAACTTGGATAGACCGTTTTTGGTAATTTTAGTTCTGTTTTTTGCTATTTTTCTTAGTAATTTTTTGTCAGCTAGAATTCATCCCTTTTGTCATGCACTTTTAAGTTCACCACATGGTTTCCCGTACCAACTTTCATATTCCAAATGTTGCTTTTATAAACTTTTCAACTGTTTAAATAGTTTGATTTGGAAACTAAAGGAGTCAGTTTTCTTCAGGTACACTTGAATCTCACAAACCAGACGGATAGAGAATTGGGCCCTTTTGAAGTTTGGTTGTCACAAGATGATACTCTTGATGAGAAAACTGTTATGGTTAATGGTCTCCAAACAATGGTAATGCTTCATTTGGGCTTCAAAGAGTCTCCTTTACCAAAGCTGACCTTATTTTCAGTGCCATGTTCTGTTTAGATACAATTTTTGGCTTAAGATGTTTATTGATCAAACGAAACTCACCTATCAAGTATTGCTGTTTGTCATGACAACTTGTTGAATCATCATGAGATATATATAGGTTTGAACCTGTGACTTCAACTTAGGAGCACAGCTCAACGATTTATTTAATTATTCCGTGCAAGCAAACATCAGCTTGCTCCATTCATGTTTGTTTTGAATTTTAAGGTGTTGTTAGGATAAATTTCTTGATATGAGTTGATGAAATATTTTTAGGAAATCGGATGGCTGTAAAGAAACTTCTATGTTATGATAATTGATTTTTTTAGGTGCACAAAAGTCCTGATTTTTTTAATTACTGATCTGAGGATATGGCATCATTCACAGGAATTATCCCAGTTGGAGGCATTTGGTACCACAGATTTTTACTTGGTATGTAGAATAATTCTGACCTGTAAATTCTACACTGATTTAGTTTCTAGTGATGGATCTTGGCCCTTTTTGCATGTAATTTTTTTTTAGTTTATTCTGCACATCTTTGATCAGGGAACCTTTGCAGTGCATTATATTAATGACACTTCTGATCAGAGTTGTCAAGAGGCACTTAGTTGCTCACCTTGGCGCTCCAGGCGAGGTGAGGCCACAACATCTTTAATAGCCTTCGGCGATGAATTTCAATGAAGCGCTGCCTAGGCGAGTGCCTCATGAGTGGGTGCTAGGCATTAAAGCGAACCTGATTGAAATACTTCCTTTTCTATTGGATTTCTCTTCTTTTTTAAAAAAAAAACTGATTTATGTTTTGACCTCCATGTCCTCTTTTTTTATCACAAGAAACAACTTAAGGGCTGATTTATGTTTTGACCTATATGTCCTTTTTTTATCACAAGAAACAACTTAAGGCGTGGACATGCATTGATCAGTTGGACCTCCTTATCCATTTTCTATGCTGTGAGGAGCTGTCCATCCATGAAGCAAAACGTGTTAATATATCAATTCATTCATTAGACCAAGCAAATTTTACACTAAAGCCCTTGTTCAACTACCTTCATGGAATATCATTTGTTCCAGCAGCTCCATTGACTTGCTGCTGTGCTTCACTGATCTCTCCGTCCCCAGGAGCAAGTCCAGATGGATTCCTATAAAATGATCCCAGAGGATTGGGGAGGAGGCTTGAAACATCTTTTCCAAGCATTTGCTGTGATGACTGGATTTCAGCTTTGTTGCTTTTCAGTTGTAGATAGTGAAACTCCTTTTGCCATGATCCACGAAACTAAACTGTATCATGGAAGTTAGGCATTTCATATTAATGAATTAAAATAATTTTAGTTTGTATCCACGGCATTCATTGTTAATCTACTTCCAGAACATGATCTACTATGTTAGAATTGCGACCTAGCGTATTTGATGATGATACTGAGAGGCTTGAGGCCATCAATGACAGAATTTTCTACAAGAAATCCATTAAAAACCAATGTGAAGTTGAGATTGCTCCTGGGTAGATTCAAGATTTGTTGATAATGCTTAATAGATGAGTAAAAAGTATCGCAACTCTACATGTGTTTCAGCGGTGTTTTTTCGATGCCCACGGAGAGAAACTAGTTTTTTTATATATATATATATTTTCTTGCTTGCTTATTGGTGTGTGTGTGAGAGAGAGAGAGAGAGATTAATTAACACTGATTCTTCCCATTAAACTTGATCGGCAAGCTTAATCAATTGAGAAATACAGGAAACTGATAACGAAAACAAGAAAAATTGAATCCAGCAAAAGCTGCGAGGGGGGGAGATTCTTAGGGCACTAATCCTCCCGATATAAGCCGATAACGGAACCAAATCAAGGCAAGGGAATAATATATACAGGAAGCTGGAAATAAAAACCAGAAAGCTGGAAATTTAAAGAACAGTAAAAAGGGAATCATCGGTCATCACATTATCCCTTGGAGAGTTGAGTAGCTAGGCTCGTGAACCTCCCAAAGCCCAGTTGGCTTCACTACCAACACGAGGCATACTGCCAATTCTGGAATGGACATCAACCATGAAGTTAGCCCCACACATTGTTCCCTCACTGTCAATCCTAGGCAACGCCTTCATTTTGCTACTTGGATGCTCAAAGCTCATCAAGCCTTGTTCACTGTGGAACATGCATGCCGATGGAAATGGCGCAAATGATTTAGCACAACTTCCTTTTATCACCTCCAAGTTGTCCGAAATTACCACTGACCCATCAGCTGCAATCCCCCAGAACAGCTCAGCACCTTCATTTGCTCCCTGCATTGCAAAACAATGAACAAAATCATTTCCCATTTCTACCTGGAATTTAAACATATCCCTTTCTTTATTCAGGGTTTCTAGAGCGGCTTACCAGTGCAGCAAAGACCTGTCCAGCCTTGCTGTCATAGACCACAAATCCAAACCTGCCATCCATATCCTGAAGAACCTTGTGAGCCGGATATGGGCCACGGTCACGGAGGGTCCGGTATGCTTCAATAATAAGCATGGCCTCGTTGGTGCCCTTCGATAGCCCGTACTGTTTATTGAGGCTGCACAGGTTGTTCAAGCTCCCCAAGAAAATGCAGTATATGCCATCCAATCCACAGAACAGCCTGCAATTCCATCAGATCAGAATATTCAAGATCAGTTCATATGGGCAATGCCTCACCCTAACAGGAAACAAACACAGAGTGAAAGACTGAAGAGGGAGATCAGGAATGTAATGTACCTCTGCTGTCTGGGATAAGAATTTCCTTGTGAAATACAAGCAAGCAATGCAGAGTCTCCAAAGCTCATTGTGAAAGCATTAGAAGGATTAGAAGATACAAAATCCTTCACAATCTCCTCAGGAAGCTTTGGTTTTCTTGATGAACATAATGAAGCTGGACTGTACAGCTCCTGGGGTGGATTCACTAACCCTTTGTTGAAAATTGCCAACATCTTTCTCTCTTTCTAGGAATCCTTTTTAAAACACAGAAATCTTCAATCAACGAGATTGAAAGCAGAAAAACAACAAAGATGATCAATAAATAGTGATGGGAATCTTAAGAAACAAATGGTATGGAGAAAAAGGAGCGACGCCCTCTTCTATATATAGTAGTGGGAGGAAAATGTGGCATAGCGTGGCAACATTATCCAAACTCGAGGATCTAGGCTTGGATTACGCCCTATTTTTCGTTAGAAAAATCTACTTCTGCGAAGGGCAGTCAAAGGACATAAATAGGATAAGCTTTCCTTAAATATAGCTCTAAAAATATTTAATGATTTAATTCAGGATGAGCATGTGATGATGATGGTGATGCTGCCTTTTTCCAGCAAGTAATCAGTATAAAAAACTTATGATACAAGGGAATTGGTCTTTCAGTCTTATCCATAATAGTAGGTGAGTTGACTATGAGTTAGAAATGAGTCAGCAAAATGATGGCCCGTGGTGAAAATGAGTCACCAAACGATGGCCATGTCTCTGCCACGTCTCTTGCATGTCTAGACGGATTGTGTCTAAAATAAGCAGTTTTAGATCCGTAGTTGTTAAATCGCCCCTTCGAATCCGAATCAATTATGCCATTTCATTTTATATTTTAAAAATATATAAAAAAATTAAATTTTTTATTTTTTTAAATTAATATTTTTTTAATATTTTTAAATTATTTTAATACGCTGAGATTAAAAATATTTTTAAAATTAAAAAATATTATTTTAATAAATTTTTAAATAAAAAATACTTTAAAAAATAATTATAAGAAACTCCTACTTGGTTTGGAAAGATAGTTTGTGTTTTTTAGAATTTCAATGTAATTGTTTTCTAAAAATATTTTTAGTTTTAAAATATATATAAATAATTTTTTTATTTTTAATATTAATATATTAAAACTATTAATTTAATGTTTTTTTAAGTAAAATATATTTTAAAAATATACACAAAGTAGAAGTTATTATACTCTTAAACACTCAGGTAATATCTAATATTATGATAACAATTATTTTTTAAAATATTTTTAGTTAAGATATTAATTTTTTTAAAAAATTATTTTTAATATCAGTACATCAAAACAATATAAAAACACTAAAAATATTAATTTTAAGAATAAATAAATTTATTTTTTTAGTAAATACACGATCAATCGCATTATCAAATGATATCTTAGCTGTCAACCAAATTTTCATAATAAAAATTAAAGTTATTAAACCTGGTCAGATTTGTAACTTAGTTTAAGTCCTAGTTATAAATTAAGTAGATTATCTTACCTGCAAACCAAATTTTCATAATAAAAATTAAAATTATTAAATCTGGTCAGATTTGTAACTTAGTTTAAGTCCTAGTTATAAATTAAGTAGATCAACATGAATTTTAAATTTAAAATAATATCATTTTATATATAGAAATGTTTTTTAAGAAATCATGCTATATTTTGATCAAGTTAGTAATTAATTTATTAGATTAATTGTGTTAAACTTGATTAAGTTTGACTTAATTTTTTTTTAAAATTAAATCTACTAGATTTCAAGTCAACCATACTAAATTTAATAACCTGATTAATACCAAGGGAAACTTGAAGTGATCGGTTAATAATTTAGGAATATGGTACCCATGATGTTTGTATTACTCTTTTTTTTTTTAAGTATAATTAAATTCTCGGATTGCTATTATGGTATAACTGTAGTTCTTTCTTACTTTTAAATATTTTATTTACCTAAAGATTATATTGAAGTTATAAATTCTAAGGAGTTGTTAATTAATTTATAAAGCAAGTATTACAAAAATAATAATAATAATAGATATAACAATATATCCTTTATGATTTCCAAATTAGATAACTCGTTGGATTTATTTAATTATTTAATCAAGGGAGAGATATTTTCTATAACAATGAATAGATCTGGATAGAAAAAGGAATACTTTTTGTTCGTTTTTAACATTAAATTAATATACATAAAGAAAGAATTTGAAAAAAACAACATTTAATTAAAAAGAAGAGAGAATTACAACGGTGTATAGAAATAAAAAAGAGAGCAACCCAAAGATTTTATCCGACGAAAAAACACAGCACATGGCATGCGATGGTAAGGTAGACAGAGTTGATAGCAAGTTTTAACGTCTTGGTGCCTCATGTCTTCCTCTCTCGTCGACTATTTATCTGCAAATTCTTGGAACTCGCAAATGCATTGCATTGAAAATAGGCAGCTGATGAGAAAGCAGAGGGAAGATGATCGATGGAAGTCCAAGAAGGGATGCTCACAGCGAGAGCTGAGCTCTGCAAAAAGGATAAATGGGAGAACAGAAAGAAGAGAGGAGCACTACATATTCTTCATATTTCCTGCACTGTCTTTCTGCTACACAAGAACCTACGTAAAAAATGAATGCCATAGTCGAAAGGGTAGCATACTATACCCTTCGTACAGGCTTGGTATCTGGAAATTCTTAATTTGCGAAATTTCGTGAGGTAATTCACAGGAAATTTTAAAATATCACTGCTGGGTAGGTAGGTTTAATAGTGTATCATTATTGTAAACCATGCAGTATGTATATATATATATATCTTGAAATGGGAAAATTTCAGGAACAAGTCCAAGTGTCATACGACCGTAGAACTTAAAAGATCAGGGTAGAAAATGTCTGCATTGCCAGGTATACTACATATTCTTCATATTTCCTGCACTGTCTTTCTGCTACACAAGAAGCTACGTAAAAATGAATGCAACAGTCGAAAGGGTAGCATACCCTTTGTACAGGCTTGATATCTGGAAATTCTTAATTTGCGAAATTTCGTGAGGTAATTCACCAGGCAGCGGTGTAAAGGCAAAATTTCATATGCTAATAATAAAGCCATAAACGCTATCCTGCAAAAGAAAGAGGTCAGATGATTCTGAAAGGATGTTTGGAACCCAGTTCATAGCATGGCTGTCATCTTATTCTTTGAAGTATCAGGATGATAATAAATATTCATGGGTTGAATTTTACACTGTGCTCAATCTTAATTTTTAAATATTTATTGGTTATTATTCATAACCCAAACCTGAATGCTATAATTTATTATTATTTAGTATATAATTAACCTCTTATACATGTGATTTTTTTTAAACTTTAAATTATTTATTTATTTATTTTAGATTCCAGGTAGCGGTGTAAAGGCAAAATTTCATATGCTAATAATAAAGCCATAAACGCTATCCTGCAAAAGAAAGAGGTCAGATGATTCTGAAAGGATGTTTGGAACCCAGTTCATAGCATGGCTGTCATCTTATTCTTTGAAGTATCAGGATGATAATAAATATTCATGGGTTGAATTTTACACTGTGCTCAATCTTAATTTTTAAATATTTATTGGTTATTATTCATAACCCAAACCTGAATGCTATAATTTATTATTATTTAGTATATAATTAACCTCTTATACATGTGATTTTTTTTAAACTTTAAATTATTTATTTATTTATTTTAGATTAAATTTGGGTCAGGACATAAACTAATATTCATAAAACTTGACCTAAATCCAGCTTGAAACTCAATTATATATAAGATTTTTTTTATTATTATTTAAAAAGATTCGGATTAGTATTTATCAAGTCGTGGGTGATATTACCGTATCCCTGTTAAGGATATCACTTCCTAAATAGAGCTCTTAATCATCAGGCTTCATCACTAAAGCTAGGAAGAAGCTCCATGCGCAAATCTCATCTTAGAGCTTCCCATGGCGGAACTGTACTCGTCTACACGCACACTAGCGCACGTGATTCGCATTAATTTATCTTACTTAGATATATAATAAATTATTTAACACTATCAAGTATTAATAAATACTTTTATAATCTTAAAGTAATAGTCATTTAAGATTTGAGCATTGCAATGATATTAAACATATTCCATTTCTTAATTATTTTCTTTAACTTTTTCAAATTATTTAATTCTTATTTATAATATTTTAATTTTTTTCTTATTGTATCAACAATATTACATGCTAATTAAGGCTAATTAAGCTGACAAGGATACTAATGTCTAAAATTAAAAAACATAAACCTAAAACATATGTTATTTTGCATCACTCACAAAACATTATCCATTGCAATAATATTTTTTATCTTGGATTTTTTATTTTTTAAATCTTTATTTTCCTCTCTTTAATTTTATTTTTTAATATTTAATTTATTAGAACCACTCTAACACAGGACCAACAGAATAGCCAAAACCAAAAGTTATACTTTTACCTATTATTTTTTATTTTAACAACTCCAACAAGGTAGCTATATAAATAGCTGAAATGCCTTTTCTTGCTTTAAAATGTTATTTTTACACTTCATTGTAGAACAGTCAAGAGCAAGAGAAAGTGTATGTGTGTGTGTTTATATCAGGGCAACCATCTCATTCCTTTGTTTTACTCATAGAACAAAAAAAAAAAACTTGCAAATCTCAAAGCTTTTGTGCCTCAACTTCAAAAATCAAAATTTTAACAATAATATATAAAATTAAAATTTTTAAATATTTATATAAATAAATTTTAAATTTAAACTTAAAATAATATCTTTTAACTTTTATATTACTTCATTAATTTTATATTTAATTTTACAAATTATTCATATAATTAATAACATCATGATTAAATTATATAAAAAAATAACTAATTTAGTTATATAATTATATTAAAATTATTTTAATATAAAATATATAAAAATATAATTGATTATTTTAAATGGCCTTTTACTACTGGAATGCACATAAATAAATAAATAAAAAATATATTTACACCATTCAAAAAGCTATTTTATCAATTTAGCTTTTTAATATAGTATCTTTATCAATTTAGCTCTTTAAGCTTCTTGATTTATTGTGATTTAGTTTCTATGTGGTTATCCCGCTTACAACTCACATTATGAGTTTTACAGGAGTTAACATGATTTTTTTTAATTAGTATTTATTTTTTGAATTTCATCATTCATCATTGAGTTGATTATAAATTAGACTTCATTATATATATATATATTCAATTTCATCCAAGGTTGATTGAGAAATCACTTTTTCTATAGGGTCATCATAGTCTCATGATCTAGCTTGTGAATTTGACAAGTTAACTAAGATTGGTCTAAGTTGTTTTTTTTTTTTTAATTTTATCATTTAACATTGAACTAATGAAAAATTAAATTTTATAGTTTGTTTAATTTATCTTATAAGACTGATGGAGAATTAAACTTTATAGTTTGTTTAATTTATCTTATAAGGGATTAGCATGGTCTTATATTTTAAAAATGATATATATATAAGTAAACTTATCTCATATTATTTTTTTAATTGAAAATTTTGAAAATTATATATTTGATAAAAAAAAATATTAAAAGAGACAAGTAAACCTATATATCTCATAAAGCTTTTTTTTTTTTATGACTTTTACATCATCAGCTAGGGAATTAATAAAATGATCTTCATCAAAAAAATATCCGAAAAGTTGCTGCAAATAAAAAAGAAAGAAAGAAAAAGAAGAACTATGGCATCATGACATGAGAGGGCCCAACAACTTAAGATTTTCACTTATCAGATATAACATATCAACAGCAAAAGAAAGGAAAATAATTCCTTGCTCATAACTTCAGATTTATTTAAGAGCAAAATACACTATAAATAAGGATTAAATCATGCCTCACTTGTGAAGATCACAATTAATAAAATTCAGTGGAGATTTCAATTGAGGCCGTGTGCCTATTTCTTGAGAAATCTCGTGAACCATTTGGCTGAGAGCTTAGGATGTCTTTTGAGTCCATCTTTATGATCGATATAATTCAGACCAAAACGTGATGTGTATCCTACTACCCACTCGAAGCCATCCATTAACGACCAAGCAAAATATCCTTTCACCTTCACACCATCCCTACCAAAACGAACAGATAAAGTTAGATTCATACGCTCTCAAGAAGCCAATAACTTTCATGCTAGGGTGCTGCATTTTTAATTATTTGTGGACGTGGTCTTTATATCCATTAATTTGCAGTGAGTGGTCGTGCTTATAATTCGTCATTTCAGAACAAAGCTTTTTCTAGCTCCTATACGGAGACATGCACGCATAGAGAGAGCTGCACTGAGAACTTACTTGATGGCTTTTTGCACAAAAGAAAGGTGCTGATGGAAATAATCGATCCTTTGGTTGTCTATGAGGGCTTCCTTTAGGGGCAATCTTGGGTTATCTGACTCGTCAACACCTTCAGCAAAATAGGGCGGAGAGATTTATTTCATATCAAAACTCAAAAGGGATATGCAACAAAACTGGCTTCCATTGTATATTACACCGAGAAACTAATAAAAATTATTTACCATTCTCGGTGATGTAAATAACTGGATCGTTGTATGCCTTCTTTATGTAAACCAAAAGATCATGAAGTCCACTTGGGTAAACGAGGAGCCAAAATGAGCCTGCCTGTAATTTCATGAAATCATGAGTAGGTGTTAGTTCCAAGAATAGGATTTGTTTTCCTTTTCTTGCTAAGATTTTATGGAAAGAAAAACTAGTAAGAAGTCTCTCTGTGTGTTAAAATAACGAATCACAAATTACATTAATTAAGAATATGAAATTAAGGGCTTATTGACTAGATGATTCATACCTGTGGACCGATGGGAATTCCATCACGTTCAACTGCACGCACAACCAAAAGCCAATTGTTAGTATGGCATTATTAAGAAAAAAAATATATTCTAAACCATCTTGAAGTTGTTCGTTCTTACAGAAGGAAGCAACATGGGAATCTGTCTCATAGCTTGGGTGTGTATCATTAGATTGAGATTTATGGGCCACATAATTGGCAGAATAATAATTCAATCCAATAAAATCAAATGATCCCTTTATAGATCCAGCTTGTTTCTTGGAGAATTTGGGCAGTCTTTCTCCTACAAGAGATCTCATTGAACTTGGATATTCGCCACTGGTTAATGGACTCATAAACCTACAAAAAATGACCCCAAAATAGTGCTATAAGAATTCATCAATGAGCGAGTAGAGATGAGATGAAATTCAAGCAAACACGAGATGAAATTCAAGCAAACACATACCATCCAAGATTGAAATCGAGGGCTCGGCTGACAGCCTCAAGGTCTTCTTTAGCATTAGACAATGGCACAAACCAATTTGATTGTAATGTAATCCCTATCTTGCCCTTTTGTTTTGCCTACAAATTAATATTTTAGCCAATTAAATCACAATGTATAGGCAATTAAAAAAAAAAACTAAGAAGATGTAATCGTTATACAGATCAAATTGAGTCATCCCTTCTTCCAAAAATAATAATCGGAGAATGGTGTGGGAATCATGAGTTAAACCTGAAACCCTGTCCTGTACAGTTTCACAGCAGCAGCATGAGCAAGGATTTGGTTGTGCGACACCATGTATGGTTCTGTTCCTGAATCTCCACCAGTGCAGTTTTTTCCCATCCAAGCAGAACATCTACCTGGTGGGAACATGCCCGCAACATAGCCTTGCATGGTAAACATGGTTGGCTCATTCAATGTGATCCAATGTTTAACTCGATCTCCAAAATTTTCGAAACAAATTTTCGCAAAGTCTTGATAATCATTCCTGCATAATTTAGCAGCTCCTGATTAACTCCGAGTGTTTAATATTAGAGGAAGACGAAGGCAAGGAGATTTACTTACACGATTCTATCACTTAAAAATCCTCCATACTCGTCTTCTAAGGCCTGTGGAAGATCCCAGTGGAAAAGGGTGACAAATGGTTGTATGCCTGCAAATGATATAATTAAGAAACAGGTGAATTATTTCTGCATGCACATGATTTAATTATATTTGTTGAGAATTACTAGTTATTATATAGAGTCATTACCATTGGCCAGGAGTTCATTGATGAGATTGTTGTAGTAATTAATTCCTTTCTGATTCACACCTCCGCACTTTTTTCCTTCTGAAAAATAAAAATAAAAAGAAGAAGAAAAATTGCTTGTAAGAATTTGAGCCTTCCATTTGTATCTTACTTTGTCGTTAGAATTTAGATACAAATCAATGTCGAAGATGCTTGAATGCAATTGAGTCTTCTTACTTGGCAATATTCTAGGCCAAGAGATTGAGAATCTGTAGAAATCAAAGCCCATTTTTTTTATAATCTGAACATCCTCCTGCAAGAACATCATCGAACAAAAAAAACAAAAAACTAAGCTAACAGTTCGTTGCTTGGGCCTCATATTTCGATGAAAAATAGGTACCTACGGCAATATCATATATATAAAATTCTAAATTGAATGGATCTCTCGTATAGACAAGTAAAAAGATGATATCCTCCTAAGGCATGGAATATTTTTCTATTTCTTTAAGTCATATAATTCCTTTCCAAGCCTAAATAATTACAGAAATTGTTAAGAATACGATGATATTTGGATATTTGAATTCTTAGAACATGGTGACTTGAAACATTTCAAAAAGCAAATTTGCTGGCTTCACATCCTATTTAAAACTATATGGTGACTTGAAACATTTCATAAAGCTGCTACTATTTGGATTCTTTTCACAGAGATGGATAGAATGCACTGTAAAAACCTATAATAGTTTTCAGTCTTCCCTCGTCCATACCTTGTACCGGTGATATGAATCTAGGGCGACATCTCCATTGCTGCCATTAGATATCTTGCCTGCATTAATTTATGCATGGATAGATTCAAAGTGAAAATCTTATAACAGTGAAACACACAACGAGATCACCCTAATTATCATCCTTCATAAGAAAAATGAGTGAAAGAAACAAATTAAAGAATTAAAAGAGGCAGAGAGAGAGAGAGACGTGGAAATTTATGTGTGTACTCATCCCATATACTTGGTCCCTTTCCATCTTTAAATGCTGCGCCCTCATACTGATCACAAAACAATCAAGATGTTTCTTAACACACAAATAATCAAGTTTTGCAATGTATAGAGTCTTTGAAAAAAGCTATTGAAAGGAACCCAAAAGTTCTGACCTGGTATGCCGATGATGCTACCCCAAAAACAAAATCTTGAGGAAAGCTCTTGCGATTGAATGAAGCTGTGTCACATTGTGTAGCAGCTAGGCTATTAAAACAAGAGCCAAAAACCAGCAGGAGGCTCAACAACAAGTAGCTTTGAATGGCCATATTTCAACTTGGTTTTGATTAGCAAAAAGGATGCCTAGCCTTTATATAGATGTTGGATGCGAAAAACATCTCAAGGAAACAACGACGACAGTTAGAGATGACGAACACACCATGGATCTCCGGAAAAGATACAGATGTTTTTTGTGAGAAAACAGCTGCACAAGCTACATAACAGTTAGAGATGGTTAGATGACAATTAATGATTGACTATATATAGGAATATCTAGATCGATGGAAGCCTTATTGTTTGAAGGCGTATTATTTTGTTGAAGATCGAATCCAGCTGTGAGATATAGGCATCATGCTTTGCTCAATCTACCTGTAAGACACTGCGCCAAAATTATGTTTTATTTATCCAAAGCAAAGTAGCCATTAATTGTTCTAATACACGAGAGGTGTCATAATAAAACTGGGAAAAAAAAAAAGCTGGAAAAGCTCTGTTGAAGGGAAGAGGGCAATAACTACCCCTAATATTTTGTATTTCAGTCCCTCCTTTTTAATGGTAATTGTGATATTTTTCAAATAAATTTTTTATCTGGAAAACCTTTATTCCTAGCAATAGTTATAATTATGGTACTGTGATTTTTTAAAACAAAATAAAGTGCATTAAATGCTGGAAAACTTATTATTTCATATTTTTTTTATGTTCTTTTATAATCCACACTTAAATACAAATTAAGTGTAAGGTAATCCATGTTTTTGCTCTAATCAAATTCAGTCTCAAATTCATAACAAAGTGACTTTAATAAAGAAAAGGATGAAATTTTAATTGTGCATTATTACTAAATTATTAGAATATCACAAGGAATATGTATATTCTTGTCAACTTGACGAACACATGTAATTACAAGGATGGATCAGAAGTTAATTTCTAATGAAAAAAAAAGTATTTGTAGGTGTTTGTTAATGTTTTTTTATATCAATAAATATTTTAATTGCAAAATAAAAATTATATGTGTGTTTAATAAAATAAATAAATTATTATATGTATCGATAAATATAAAAAATGTTAATAATAATTAAAAATAAAATCAAGGGACTGAAAAATATCTAATTATGGATCACATGGAGCTATTCAATTTTTCTCATTTAATTATATGTCAATATTCTTTCAACAAAAATAATAATTTGTATTCTATTGAAACAAAATGATATGTAATGATGAAGTTGTGAAAACACTTCACATGAAAAATGAGTTATTCACGAGCTATAAGATTCTGGCCAAGACATGCAAGCTTTTAAACATGGGCTTCAGGATGTCTGAAAAACGAGTTTAGCTCCATTTAGCTTCCGTAAACCAGGAAGCAAATGTTTCACTCCACTTTCATACCATAAAAGAACAAAATACCGAGACACGTTAATCAATTGTGAAGACAAAATTAAACAAACCATAGAGGTGAAGAAAAATATTGGAAAGCTTACTACATCTCGGAGACTGTTTGTTTTATCGGTTCCGTGTTGCCGAGAGTATTTTCTTGCTAATTCGTTCACAAGGCTGTCAAGGGCATCAAAGATAGTCTTACTGTGGCCACTCAAGCCCTTAGCATCCCATCTGTCAAAGTAATTTTGGGAGCATTCGGAGTTTGATCTCCATTCATAATCTTTTATTCCTCTGTATAGGCACATTGGTTTACCTTTGAACTGCATCTGTGATTTTTTCCAAATCATCAAGAGAGCCTTCCATATCATAAAAATCATCAGCAACTGTGATAACTATAGCACTCTTTGCTACCATCATTCTGATCTCAGAATCCTGAGGTAGTGATGTGCTAGCAGCAACGGCGAAGTAGCAATACGCAGTTCTCTCTCGGCCGAACCCCATGTCACTAAGGCCCCAGCTCTTAGACCACCTATCTCACACAACCAAGACATTAATTTCCTTCAACTATCTAGAACTACTTTATAAAATATTCACTTGCCCTGTGTCTTACCTTGTCAGTTCTTCCAATTCACTCTTGTATGTCGTTTGTCGAAACTCGTAGTTTTTCACAGCCAGTTGCTTAAGTTTGTCATTATGAAGGCATGATAACCAGTGACGGTTATGGTTTGCAATGTTCAGTCTAAGAAATTGTGACTTATGAGAGCCTATCTGATTTAGCTAATGACCTAAGATATTTATATTTCTTGTTCACACTAGCTCACATTAAGAGTTGCATGAAAATGAATTGGTAAAAATATTAATTGGTGTCCACCATTTGAAGTAGTATTTGATCGGGTGATATTGGTGAAGTGTTTGTTAAATGTTAGTGATATATTAGCTCAAATAATAGGCTAAGAAAAATTAACAATGTCAACTTTACATAAAAATATGTACCTAAAAAGAATGTATTACTAAAAATATAAAAGTTGGTATGCCTGGATAACATGTGAGATGTATTATGACTCCTCGTACCATAAAAACATTTAGTGTGTTTGGAAAGATAGGGAAGGAAAAAATCGGTCATTCGAGACTTGGTCCAAATAGTGAGACATGGTTGGCGGCCACAAATAATGTATGCTAGTATCTACATGTAGTGTGGTGGTGCGGTTTATTTGGGATACTGCTAAAGAAACTGTTGTCTCTTTTTCTTAAAAAAAATTACACCATCATCCCCTCACTTAAAGTCTTTTAAAAAAAAATATTTGAAAGGCTTAATCAATAAAAATAAAAAAAAAGACTTACTAATTTCATACAAGTGATGTTGTTACATGTTATATTTAATGTTGGCCTCTTTAATATTTTATGAAGTGTTTGTATGCAACTTTTCTTTATGTAAATTTTTGCCAAATGTAAGAAAGAAGAGTTTAATTGTCTTGATTTCTTATAATAAACTATGAAGTAATAAAAAGCGAGTATAGAAGTAAGTAATATGTATAAAAATTCAATGTAAACATGTTTGGAAACATAAAAATCTTACCATAGAGATTTTATGGAGATATTTGGAGACATAGAGATCTCACCATGAAGATTTTCATGGAGATACATTTAAAGATTTTAATGAAGATTTTTTTGTTAGAGGCATTGGAGATATGGAGAAAAACTATGATTTTTATTGAAATGCTTAAAAGACAAAGATACAATTTATTTAGCTAATTTAGGGATTATTGTATCTCATGTAGATTCAAGTGTGTATACTTCCTTGATTTCATACTAAATTCCTTTTTTTTTTCATGAATTGGTAAAGGTATCCTCTAGCAATAAATATTTATATCTTTTTTTTTTCAGGGCATGGCATTTATAAATTTCATTCTTATAGTTATGGTGAAAAAAGTTAAATTTATTAGGGTTTCTCATTCTGTGTTATTTGTCAAGGGTGGATTATGAGGCTTTTTTTATTGATTATGGTTAATACCTTAACTCATATGGTGGTGAGAGGGTTAGTCAAAAGTGCAAAAAATATAAAAAGATCACAAATGTTTTCATTGGTGCTTTTTTTTAAAATGCTTTGATTCGACACTAATGATGTTTAGTGCACAGAAGGATCTTATCATACAGTATATACATGTGTTTCTATAATGAGTAGTTGTAAACTCCACTTATCAGGGTCTCATTGGCAAATGGTTCTAGTAGATTTTTCACATTAAGCACTTCCTTATTAAATCTCTAGAGATATGTTATGGTGTTTTTATCTTTTTGTTAGGTGATGATAAAGGGTTTTGTCATGCTTTTGCTCTTTATAGATGGGATAATAGTGTTGAAACAAAATATAAGCTTAATATAAAGGTCATTAAGGTTGATAGAGTCATATTCAAAGATGTGATATCATATCCTAGCAGATACATGAAAGTTATGGGGAAAATTTTAGACATGACATTATTCTTTTGTATTACAAACTCTAGGAAGCCTATGATATTTTGTATATGCTCTCTATTATTTGTAAGATCATCATAGTTATCCTAAATAACTTTAGAGAGATACGTGTGTAACACTCTATGACAAAATAAAGAATCTGGTGGGACTAGTGTTTATTCTTAGGAATTGATTTAGTATTGCTTCTAGATCTTTTTTTATCAGGGAGGATAAAAATGAGAGTTAAAAGAGTATTGATGAAGATAATCATGCATATGGCTAGGATCTATAGAAAATTGTTCTTTATAAGGAGAGCTACTACTTTAGAGAGTAGAAATATCATACAAACTTTACATGTCATTTTTTCTTCTTTTGTGAAATCATAGTTTTCTTTTTACATCTAGTGTATGTAATGGAGTTGAGTGTTGAATTTTCTTGTTAATAAAACAAAAGAGTGTGATGTTGCTCTTTTATGACCAAGTTATCATTGTTAAGCACTTGAACTTGATAAGTAAGTTATTAAAGATATAGGAAAATTAAAGTTTTTGTGGGAGAGAGATCAATTACTCTCCCTTATCTTGGACTTTTTTTGTTCCATGGAAAGAGTTTTTGGTGAGTAATGAAAGGTGATGAACTGATTTTTTGTTTAATTCTTACAAATAGCACCGCTATTAAAGTTGTGAAAAGACTTCACGCGAAAAATAAGCTTTTCATTAGCTGTGATTCGAGACTAAGATGTGTGGGCTTGTAAATATAGGCTTGTGTCTAAGCTTAAGTGTTCCTAAAAAAAAAGCCCATCATGGAATAAAAGACTCTTCGATACTTAAGTTAGTGGGTGTATCAGAAAAAAATAATGTACGAATGGAGAGAAATTGTATTGTGTTTGAAATGTTTAGTTTGAGAAATGGTGACTTATGAAAACATTTCTCGTTTATCTGGTGACCCAAGTTATTTATAAACCTTGATAACATAAGCTCATCTTAGAATTTGCATGATAATTGATTGGTAAAAATATTTTTACCCATTACTGAAAGTAGTATTTTATACGTTATTAATGAAGTGTTTGGTAAATATTAATGATATATTGGCTAAAAGTAATCATTGGTCATAACTAACTAAAAAAGATAGTGTTAACCTTGTATAAAAGCAAATGTGTACTTGCAAATAATATGTTAGTAAAAGCATAAAAATAATATGTGCTTGAACATTGTGTGATACTCTTTTTAACTCAAAAAGTGTTCAATGTTTTTGGAAAAGGTAGGAAAATGAGAAGGAGCATGATTGGTAGCTACAAACTGGAAGGGTAGTGGCCACTAGTAATTAAGAGTGTAGTTTGTTAAACTGCTATTCAAAGAACCAGGGAATTAGATTGAGCTTTGACCCAAACCCATAACTTTTTATTTAACATGCACCATTAGCTATCGTGTTAGTGGGTGTATCAGAAAAAAATAATGTACGAATGGAGAGAAATTGTATTGTGTTTGAAATGTTTAGTTTGAGAAATGGTGACTTATGAAAACATTTCTCGTTTATCTGGTGACCCAAGTTATTTATAAACCTTGATAACATAAGCTCATCTTAGAATTTGCATGATAATTGATTGGTAAAAATATTTTTACCCATTACTGAAAGTAGTATTTTATACGTTATTAATGAAGTGTTTGGTAAATATTAATGATATATTGGCTAAAAGTAATCATTGGTCATAACTAACTAAAAAAGATAGTGTTAACCTTGTATAAAAGCAAATGTGTACTTGCAAATAATATGTTAGTAAAAGCATAAAAATAATATGTGCTTGAACATTGTGTGATACTCTTTTTAACTCAAAAAGTGTTCAATGTTTTTGGAAAAGGTAGGAAAATGAGAAGGAGCATGATTTGTAGCTACAAACTGGAAGGGTAGTGGCCACTAGCAATTAAGAGTGTAGTTTGTTAAACTGCTATTCAAAGAACCAGGGAATTAGATTGAGCTTTGACCCAAACCCATAACTTTTTATTTAACATGCACCATTACTTAGCAAAATCTTAATATTTTCTATTATTTTTTTTATTTTTTTCATTTATTTAATAAACAATAATAATTAGAATCAATATCCAAATAATTTTTGATGATTTGAATTAAAAAAAATCCCTCTAATTAAAACCTTTTTATCCTATTATTGAGTTTCTTTTTTATCCGGATTTTTTCGACCAAAATAATTTTTTAAACTTCTTATCATAATTATAAAAGCAAGTTTAAATTAAATAAAAATAATATTATAATAATTTTGATGTGAATGTATTAAAAAATATAACAATAATAGACCACCCAAACATTGTCTTGAGGAATTTGTTATCAGTATTATTAAAAATAACCTTATTTATCGGGTCAACCTTAAAAACTGAATGGTATTTGACAAAATAAATATCAAGTATGTTTTAGCATTTAATAAAATAACACCCCAAATAAATTTTTATCTAACTTATTTTAATTAAAACGGAAGATTCATAGGCATGGGCCCTTGCTTGGCCCAAGTCTTAAATTAAATTAGGTAAGAGTTGATTTTATATGATCCGCTCAATTAAACAATTTCATTCTTCACCCAATTGATCTAGCAATAACCTGATTTGACCTTGAAAAAATTTTCATGCCACTTCTTAACATTTCTTAAAAATATTAAAATAATAATAATTTAGATCAATCAAAATCAATTAGTATTAACTTGTTAATCACATAACCTAAGTCATAAACTCAATTAGGTCAAACTATATTTTTTGAAATCATTTTTATTTAATTATACAATAATAAAATAAGCATGCACAATAACGTGATTGAATTAAATTAATAGAAAAAACAAAGGAAAAATATCACAATGATAATATAAAAAAAAATAAAGGCTATGATGCTAGTAAAAAAAAAAATGCATGGTATTTAGTAAAAAAAGTCTCAAAATAGAGGCTATGATGCTAGTAAAAAAAAAAAATTGCATGGTATTTAGTAAAAAAAGTCTCAATTTCATTTTTAATTAATCTATTTAAATATATTTAAACTCAAATTATAAGAAAAAAAAACTATAGAAATAAAGAACAAAACAAGTCAAGTGTGTGTCTAGGTGGTCAATAGATAACTTGCTCTCTCATTCTCTATTTTTTAGTGAGTTTCTCTTTCCTTTCTAATATTCAAGGACTGAAACATGGTAAAAATAAAGTTTTAGACCAAAATATAAAATTTTCAAACTAAAAAGATGAAAAAAATGAAAACAAAAAAACTCTATATGCCAAAACCTTTCATTATTATTAACTATTAAATTTAGTTTCTTAAATCTTAATTTTTTTATGCAATAAAATTGAACATCAACCTAATGTAAGGGTTTTTTTTTTTTACCATGATAAACTCATAGAAAAGAAATTAAAACAAATTACTAAAATTAATTCCCAATCAATACTATGTATAAGGCCTAAATTGAAAAAAAAATGTTCGGTAACCAAAGTGAAAAAAAATAATTAAAGCACAAAAATGTAGAAACACTTTGTGAATTTATAGTACCTTGGTGCACAGTGCATGAAAAATGATTTTACCATAGCCTTCAACTTTTCTTTTAATTGAATTTTAATGTGTGTATGTTTTTAGGAGAGAAAAAATACAAATTTATTTATGAGATAATATTTGGTAATATTTAAAAAAAAACTAAAAGGCAAGTAAAATTTCAATATGTCCCTAGACACATTATACTAATCACTACAATAATGTACTTACCATTTTATCCTTTCCAAAAAAATCAATGAATTAATTGTTAGTAACAATACGATATTTTTATAAAATTCATTAGTTATTATCAGATTAATTAGGGATAATTAAGTCTTTTCAAACTTTTAAAAATGACTAAATTGCATTTAAAAGGAAAATTTATTTAACTTATGTGTAATGATTTTTTTGTCTTTTTATCATGATCTTTTAATTATAATTAAGTTAACTAAAAAATAATTTGATATATTAATAAATTTAAAAATTTAAAAGTCAAAACATGTTTGAGAATGCATGATGGGGATTACAATGGCCAAAGCTGGCCTTCCTTAATATTTTTAGAATCGTTTTTGTGGTCTCTCCCTCCTTAAATGATGTGCATGCTTACTAACATAGGTTTGATGCCAATGCACTTTTCTTTTTTCATCTTTTTTTAAATTTTTAAAATATTTCTTTAATTTATTTTTTTTTAGAATTGATGTTTTTTTATTTGATTACTATTTATTTTATTTAATATAATTTTTAAAATTAAATTTTTTTTCAATTCCATCCTTATTTAATTTTTTAATTTATCATGTTTGATTCTCATTTTTTTAATTATTATTTATTATATTTGAAATAATTTTTAAAATTATTTTTTAAAAAAAATTTATTCTTTATTTTTTTTCCTATTAGATTTGATCCTTTTTCTTTTTTTTTTCTTTTTTTTATTTTAGTAAGTTTTTTAAATTAATTTTTTTATTTTATCTTTCAACATTAAATTTATTAACTTTATTAAACTCAAATTTAGGTTTCATAAGTTATGAGTTTGAAAAATTAACTCAAATTAAAAAAATTCAATCAAGTTTATTTGATATTTTTTTCCCTCTAAGCTGACATTTTTTCAATTTCTTTTTTTAATGTTTATTTATTTATCAAATTTTGTATCTGATTCTTTTATAAGTCATCAATTTAGTTCCAAACTTAATCCACCCTAATTTCAATTAAAACTCCATTAAGATCCAACCAACAAGAAAATAAGAAAAGGATAAAAGGACATAGATTATCCAACTAAGTTAATTTATTATTTTCATTCCATTACCTAGACTATAAATTTCATCGATTAACCTTGGTCAATACAATGTGTCATTATCTATTCATTTCATTCCTTAAATTTATTTATTTTTATGATTTAATTCTTTGATAATATGTTATTTTACTTTTAAGCCAGAGTCAAGTAATGGTTAACACAACAACAACATATCTCTAACTTGACTTATTTTTGTCATATATTATTTATGAAAAAAGAAATACAACTCAAAATCAAAAGACCTCTATAAATCATGTCAGACAACCCTAAGCTCTCTCATTAAAATTAAATGAGAAATTCTAATTTTATCTATCAATATCATCACCCTCCTTAACAAAAACTATAATTTCTGGCTTCTGAAAACAATTCTATCCTCAAAAGAAACAAATGAAAAACCTGTTGATGATGAGATCAGATCGAAAGTGCAAAAGAATTATAAAACTACTCAGAACCCATAACATTTACACATGAACTGATGTGAAATGCTGTTATAGACAAGACATGTCCAGAAATGCGATCACACATGGCAAACACCGTTTCTCACTTCCTCATAATTTGAGATTTCTTAACATACAAAACACTATTGCTTGGAATCTTAAAAATTGCAAGATAAAAAGTCTTTTAACAATATTGCGTTTCATCAATAAACAGAAGTTCCCGCTGCTCAACCAACCCCTTAAACAACCACTGCCAGAATCCACAAGTTGCTCGAAACAATGGGGCACGAGGGATGAAAGAGAATGGACAAGGAACAAGCCACCTTAACTAACAGATTATGCTTTTTGTTGCTGACAGTCGACACAAAGTTATATTTACATACCTGAGATATCTGCGCAGGAAGTAGCTGCTAACAGTTGACAATAAATGATTCGATAATATAATATAAACTGTGATACAGAACTTGAGAAAGGGAATCGTGTTCCTAAGTTTCTTATGCGCCATAATCTCCATTAGAATACTTCTCTTCTGGATAATACAACGCATTCACAGTATTCCCTCCAAATTTCCTCCCATTTAGTGCATTTCTTGCATTTGCACAACTAATGGTATCAGAATACTCCAAGAACACCTGCAAGAAATAAGAGTACAGGGTGCTATTACTACAAAATATCTATTACTACAAGGTGCACCATAATCTCAGATTCTCTGGTATCACCATCTCCATGCGAATAGTACCCTTTGTTTTCAAACTAGGCAGCAAGTACAAAATTGGAGGAATGAATGCAGATACTTTCAGAAGTATCAGGAAAAAGTGAGACAGAGCTCAGCAATAAATACCCAGGTTAAAAACAGGTGCAGTACAAGAAAACCACATACCTTTCCAGCGCCAGGCATTTTCTCTTCATTCTGACTTGGGCGAGGAATAACAACATTGATCAAAGTTCCTGATCACACGACCAAGCAAATATTATAAGTAATAAACTGCACGTACCAAAGAGCTACATATTAGAAACAAGGAGAACAGCAATTTCCATGATAAGATCCCTGTAAAGCTACATATAGTCTGTCACTAAAGAAATTTTTTATCCAAAAGAAGAATGCAATGAAAAACAACAGCAGATTAAGAATTTGCATCTTACAAATAGTTCTAGGTCAAATTTTCAATGTAGAAAAGAATAAATACTGATGCACATGTAACAACTGTGTGGGCACAGATGCACAGAGATGTACTTGTATGAATGTGCAAGTGCTTGCACATACCAGACAAACACGCAGCCATGCATGGGTACACTCATGCACACCCTACAGGCAAAAAGAAAGAACAAGGAGGTAGAATATAATTATATCTTTATGACATACCAAATTTACAACATTCTTCCCGCATATCTTCTAATATTTCTTCATACTCTTCATCATCTGCTAGTACTTCCATGGTAATAGCCTTTATCAGAAAGGGGATAGAAGAGAATTAGATTTATCAATCATTCAATCAACATAAATCCATTAAACAAAAGATAAAAACACTGATCGTGAAACAAAAGTGTATGCAAAAACAGATGGGTGATCTAAGCTCACAGCTGCACTATGTAATGACTATATATTAGAATAAACATTTGGAATATCATGGCATACTTCATCTGGGGATGAAGGAACAGGGACAAGTAGAGGAAAATCATCAAAGTGCTCACAAAACAAGCTTCCCTTCTAAGCATTTTGGAACTCTCATTATTTCCTCTCATTCTCCCCATTCTTTAAATAGCCGGTAGTGATAGTAGTAATAGCAGCACAGCAGAAAATAAAACCATGAACTAGAAAAGGGCTGTATGGCACCTCAGTCAAGCATAAAACTTTAGATGGAGTGTACGAAGATTCTGCCAACGGTATCCCTACTCCAGGAAGATTCATAACACCAGCTTGCAAGGCCATTTTCTGCAAGCAAAAACCATATGTGAGCCTATACCATAGATTTGAAAGTAACTGAAAAAATATAACAATAGACGTATTCTTTTACCTGGATAGCTATATGCTGCTGAGCTTGAGCCAATATATTTTCCTGTTCTGACTTGGACTGCCCACCACTGTTTCAGGCAACATGCATCAACGAAAGTGTGCAAAGTCATGAATTCAAACATTAATGTAAAAGTATCATCTGAAGCCACACACGCACATTCTCATAGCTTAGGGTCTATGGAACAAACAGCATTTAGGCGCAGAACAAAAAAATAAAGTTTTTCTAAAGCAAATTTTATAAGTCCCTCCATGCTTTATTTTTTTTCTTCTTAAGTTTAACGAATACAACACATTCTTTCATTTCATTCTTGATTGTGGCTTGTTTTCACATCACCCACAAAACATGTGAAACAACAAAGAATGGGAAGGAATTTGATTGACAGAAATGCATCGATCTATTGCCTTCATCAACTTAAATCCACAAATCACAATCAGTCTGGTTTAATTGACCTCAACATATGGATTTTCAAAATGTAAAAACTTCAACTTAAATAAAAGAGTCCATGGCTTGCCCCTTACCCCCACATCCCCACCTCTCCCAACACACACATGTACATGTCTTTTGTCTCAGTCATTAGTGGGACAAGATATTCACTTAAAACCAGCGAACTTCATGAATTTGAGGGGCTAGTCAAAAGGTTCACCCTTTGCTTGTAGCCTTAGACAAAGGATGCAATGCACAGGCAACAGTCAGCTACATCATCAACTTTGGGCCCTCTACAGGTCCACACAATCCTACCAATTAGGTTTGTAATGGTAGTAAGATTGAATGGATAGCCAAAAAGAGCAATGGCACCTCAGGGAGGGTTAGTTTTTTAATAGGGTCTCGAAGAGTGTCTTCAACCATTCAACTGTATCTGGATCTAAATACCATGTATATATATTATGGATCTGCTAATTTATACATATCTCATGTTGCAGTCATGCCTGGATCGTCCTTGAGCTTCATTTTATCTTCAGTGACTTATTTTGCCTCTGGTGTCTTATAGGGGATTAAAGAAAGCTTAGAAAGGTGAGGACAAAATCAAGGCCAGGGAAAGCAATAATTTCTTGCATTTTCACTGAAATTATAAATATAAAGGCCAAATAAGAATATAATTGCTATTACTGATAGAGAAACAATAATCTCATACCGCCTTGAAACTAATCAAATTTATCTGCATAATTGTAAGAGGATTGTTTCTATCACTGAAAGAAAGAGAATAATTCCTAGACTATTTTATGTCTCACACAACCCACTAAACACCAAAATATATTCACTGGGCCACACTCCAAACACCAATCAATCTCTACTAATTCATTGAAGAGTGATGCGAAGGCAGAAAAACATGAAACAACTCTTGTTCTCTCTGTAAAAGCACCAATTTCAATATTTGCCCGTGTATAAACATGCACACTTGTGTGTAAGCATGCAGGCACATTTCTGTTCCCAGTCCATACTTTCAACATTAGTGAATCTCATGTCACTTGTGAATTTGGAAACTAGAAGTCCCAAGTCTAGAATTTATCATACTGTTGAAGTACGTGGAAATCAGCAACACAATAAGAAGACTGAGCTTCCAGAAAGCTCAAGAGAAAGGGTAAGTTTTGAATGAAACTTGTGTCATCTACAGGCATGATTTCCACCAGTGCCAATTTTAGAGAGAAAAAATGGGGCTAAGAAACTTTACAAAAAGAAAATTTGCAAAAACCGGCAAGGCTACCATACAAAAGCATGGCAGTAAAAGTATATGTAAGGTAGCATAAAAAGGGAGTGTGCCATTTTGATGCATGCGGGAGGAATGATAATATAAATTCCAGCCAAATCCAGGCTCATTAGATTAAAAAGACTGACCTTTCAGTAGCACGACGGACAGTTAGAGTTTTATCTCCCATTTTCAAGCCATTTAGAGCAGCACATGCAATATCAGTCACCGCAGGATCCTGAAGTACTTGCACATTACTCACCATTTAGAGATAAAAAAAAAAAAAAAAGACACCCCAAAATTATACACTCATAACTATACATTTGATCTAAAACAAGCTTGTAAAGCAGGTTTTTAACAGTCAATTCTAAATCCAACCTAAGACGCAAAAAGCTTATGTTGAATTTCAGAGCCCATATACTTTAAGATCAAAACATAATATGTTTAGCTGTTGAGACACATACCAAATGATTATAATGTTTCAATCACTCACCTGATAGACACAGAAACCATATCCTTTAGAGTTCCCAGTGTCTCTGTCCTTCACAAGGTCAAAACCACGGAGAGGTCTGTAGATCAAGAGCATACCATTGCAACAGTTAAAACATCTATATAGCATCCAAACTACTTAAAATTAGATTAATGAATATGAGGAGCCAAAAACATAAAGAAAACGACGGCTGTGGCAAGAAAATTGTAAATGAAAGACAAGCATGGTAGAGCTTCATACCCAAAAGATTCTAGCAACTCTCTAATCTGTAACTCAGTAAAGTAATATGGCAATCCACCCACAAAGACACGATCAGGTCCTTCTGCTCCACTAATTGTACTGAAAATCAGATTATGAATAAGCAAACCACAAGTCAAGGAAGATCCTTCAACTGAATGTAAAATCCATCTCTGCTGATGCAAATGGACAGACAGTAGTGTATTATATCAACAATAACAAAAACACAATTAGTAAGACAAACTCCAAGTGAAATTAAATAATCATTAATGCCAGAATAATGGAAAGAGATGCTTAACCAATCTTCTAATAAGAAAAAAGGAAGCACTTGCTTACCCTGGTATGAGACCAACAGCAGCTAAGTTAAGGAGAGGACTTGGTTGACTAGGACCCAGAGTCGCAGCCAATGACGGATTGTAGTCAGTAGGCCTCCGAACTCTCACAGCAACCCCCTAGAGATACCAAATATGCATGTCAAGCAAATAAGTAGTAACAACACATAGAGCATGTGCCAATTTAAATGCACTTTATGAGATCCACATCCATGAAAATGAATGCAAAAAATATTAAAGCATATAGGAATCTTTTTACCCAACTCTTGCCATAAACACCTTAAAATTAAAGCCCCAAAGCATGAGGATAAACAAGCCACCAAAAGCACTCAGTATCCTAACCAAAGATTCTTGAATAGTTCATTCTCATCAAATACCACACCAGGTTTATGAATAGTTAATTGTTGACAAAGGATGCACAAAGAGCCATTATACATCTATAAGCACATTTTCCTGATGACTAAGTTAATAAGTTATGACCTACTAACCATATCCCGCTATTACTACAGCTAGCTGAAGCCCAAAGTCTCCCATGTTGACAGTCAACAACAAAAGGTTTGGCAAGCATGGGTTTTAGAAAACTAATATACATATAATCCACATCCATATGCTAATGAGTCTTATCCGTCAAACTACCATTTTCCATTTAATATTCTAAACACTGGTAGTTAGAGGAAAAATTTACATAATAATCCAAAATATCACGTATTACTCTGCTAAATGTGACAAGAAATAATGAAAAGATAATTTTTGCCTCAAAAATAATTCCATCTAAAGCCATTGCATTGCTTGCTTCTTCAACAGTTCTCATCTCCACGAACGCGAATTTCTTCTCGTGATTTATGTATACATTCACCACTGCATCACCTGCAAGAGAAAAGAGTGGATTGTGCACCACAATTAAATAAAATGTTTGAAAAATGTCCAGAAGAACTCTGGTAAGGACAGTAACAAGATGAACTACCTGGACCAGCAGCATTTCCTCCAATGGAAGCCATAATATGGCTAAAGAATGCTGCAATTGTCTGTTTCAAAACAATAAGAAACCATATAATGTTCCAATATTGCAAGGAAATCTCCCTAAATATTAGTAAGATGCAAGAAAGGAGATGTTCAAAAGATTCAAAGTGATAAATCCAATACCTTGACTGTAGCCAGTCATAGAACATCATGAATGGACAACCTTAATAAAATATAATATTGTATCCCCTCAATAAATAACAGTTAGCAAGTTAGACCCTGACAGGTAGCTGCATCTACAAAAATTTCTGAAAGAACTCATGACATAGAGCTAATAAAAGAAAATGTCTTAAAAGATTCACTTATTAAACTAAATTGTAACAAAATAATACTGCTTAGAAGATAAATAGCACTTTGAATGCTACAAAAGCCTTTTATAGCATTCATCTTAGAATTTCTAATACATTGATCTTTACTAGATTTTTAAAATCAAATATAAAGAGTGATAACTCCTAGAATGCACTTGCAATATAATACCATAAAAATTCCAAAAGCAGTAACAAAAAATTGCAGTTTCACATAGGAAACAAAGATGGTGTGAAAAAGACAATGTGAAGAAACACAATTCATGAACTTATAAAAGCATTTTGCAATGCTAAATTACAAGTTTTAAAATGTTGAAGAATGTTAACAGAAAAAAAAAATCAAAAAATTTTGAGTCCATGACAATTTTTTATAAAATTATTTAATCACACAAGCAGGAAACCAAAAACTGAGGTTGAACCTGTTCATTAGCCAGGGGAGGGAGACCACCAACATAAACACGCCGTGCATGCCTTGTTGCCTGAAAGAAAGAAACACAGAGAATAAGATCATGGTGAATCCATAGATACATACTTTTTACACGTAATATGAATAAGCATCATCGTATATCCACCTGCTGGGTCATGGCCTGGGCAGGCATTAATGGAAAAACTCCATACTGTAACACGAAATAAGAGAAATTATATGCACACATGCACAAAACGTATACATCTATAAAAGAAAATGCAAGAAATTTGACATTTATATATTCCAAAGGAAAAGGTGCACCTGTGTTGTTCCAAATTGTAAAGCGTTCTGTACCACTCCTGGCATTGTTTGAGGAAGACTTGGCAGTTGTCCAGCATCATTAACTAAAAGGAACATATGATTATAGAGGAGTGAGTCATGGAGCTAAAAAAGGAAGACATATGCTAACTACATATATATTGATCAAAAAAATATCCTGCTGATAAATTTAATAACATCAGATGTATGGAAGCTCAGAACTATCAACCTCGTCATAAAGCTAGATAAAGAAGCCTATTTCATACCTAAATTATACGACTCAAATAATAAAGAAACGAATTCCATCACTGGAGATGCTAGGGAAATATTTGTAAGTCTACCAAATGGCACTCTTGTCAGTTGAGGACGAACAAGATCCAGCTAATTGATGCATTGTTTCTCCGTTGAACATTAAATCTACAATGGTCCCTCCGATGGGTATGGTGGGACATGTAGCCCAACATTGCCTTCTTACCCAAGTGATAAACATAAACACAAACAAACAACAGACAACAACCAAAAAACAGAATGATGCTTCTCAGTTTCAGTAGTAAACAATAGATAAAAACTAAAAGGAAAGGAAATAAGCGTCTTTCAAAATAAAATTTATAAGTTTACTAGAAGGTGGTGTCAATAGCAGACTGAAAATGCTATCCTATAAGAAACTACTGTACTAGAATGTTAGAACCCATGTATATATAAAGCAGAGACTACATCCAAACCTGCCACAGCAGCACCAGGAAGCATGCCCACCTCAGATGGAGCCATGTCAAAACCACTTTTCCGCTTGCTGTCAACAAAATTAATCTTAAGAAGGTCATGATGAAACAATATAATCTTTAACAAATATTATTTTAATTTTGACATTTCAAAGAAATTAGATTAATTTTCAATACAAGAAACGTAAGATAATCAAGAAAAGGTAATTACTCAGAGGAACAGGAGAGAAAGGAAAGGAAATAACAATAAATTAATAAGATTATGTTAATCAGTAGTGGTGCACATGGAAATTCATCTGGTAGAAGCAGATTAGAAAGGTAATCATGATAAAATTGTAATGGTTTGCTATGTGAAGGTGAACCAAGTGCAATTCTAACCCCAATAGCAACACAACTTGCAGTTATGTTTCTCTAATAGTCAGTGCCATGCGAAACTTTGATTATACTGGACAATGACAACCTCACAGCGGGTTTACAAACTTGGATAATTATTGTCCTAAGATGCCAAGATTGTCCCCACTTGCCTGGAGTTATTGAAAATAAGTCGAAGGACTAGCTAACTAGTCTACAAGCAGGCAATCTATCTGCTACATTTCATTACAAGGTTCAATCACAAAAAATGAAAAAAAAAACATATATAAAATTTTGCACGCTAACATTAAAAGATCAATACCTTTTCGAAGGAGATCGCGAACGAGAGCGTGACCTAGATCGATTCTGAAATTTACCCTGAGAATAAGAACTTGATCTGTTTCCATTCCTTCTTCCTCTATCACCATCATAATCACGGTGCCTACAAAAAGAACAGTAATTTTCATAATCACTATATCATTCCCACTCCCCAGTACCAACAACCACATCTAAAATGGATAACTAAAAGTAAATTCACATATGAGAAGCTCGAAAATCAATAAAACATATCCAACAACCACAAAATACCACGGTAATGAACTTCAATAGCATGAAATAAATAAATAAACGAGAAAACTATAACCTATGATAATTACGACCACGGCTACTCCTTTCATGACGTTCAAAATCACCGAATTTATCTCTTCTTCCATCATTCCTCACACTTCCATCTTTATACCCGCCACGATAGCGGTCATGATCATTTCCCCTGCCTCGAGTCCTTGACCTATCATGTTCAGATTCCCGAGAACTGTACGTCTAACATGAAAAGAGGGCATAAACTTTCTATGGAAAGAGAAGTATACTTCTAGTGATGTTTAAGTCTAAAAACTTGTAGAGAAACAAAGAAGAAATGCGGTACCTTGTGACGGGAGACACGATCAATCTGAGAAGTGTAATCTTCGTCATTCTCATCGATTCCTGTATCGTTGTAAGACATTGTAGCTTAAACTTTGAGAAATCAAAACCCTAATTTCGATTTTGATTTCAATCTTGGTTTAAATGGGAAGAAGCGATGTGAAGAAGAAGAAGAAGAAAAGAGACAGCTAACCGCCGCAGCCCAGTGCTTTATAGGCCCTGAAAAAAGTTAAACTGGAAGCCCATATTCAAAGGCTTGGTTTTCTGTTTTAATGGGCTCGATAGTGAAATGGCATACCCTATTTTGTTAGTTAATTAATGGTTAATTGCCCGCGAGCAATACGGCGAGGGAACTCTTCCATGATAGTAAACTTAGCTGAGCACATCAAACCATCATGGTGACCTATCAAATTGTTACGTGGACTAGGCCGAGTTTCAAAGTAACTAGGTAATATTTGTTTTTTAAAAAGTAATTTTTAAAATATTATATTTTAAATTTTTTTTGTATTTATTTGTTATTAAAAAAATTAATTAATAAAAATTAATTTTTAATTAATAGAAAATATTTTCTGGTCAACGCAAAATATTTTTCAGTCAAACAAAAATTTGACTTGGTTTTCAATAAAATATTTTTCTTTATGGCTGTGTTTGTTTTTCAGAAAATAATTTTTTGAAAAATCACTCTTTAAACTTTCTTGTGTTTGTTTGTCATTAAAAAAGTTGGTTAATGGAAAACACTTTTTAGTTAAAGGAAAATTTGACTTGGTTTTCAAAAAAGTGTTTTCCTGAAAAATTTAGGCTCCGTTTATTTGCACGAAAGTTGTTTCCTTTTGAAAAGTGAATTCTGGAAAATTGAATTTCTAGAAAGTGAATTCCAGGGAAAATAAATTTCTGAAAAGTAAATTATTTTTCGATTTTTGGTAGTGTTATGAAAAATGAACTAGAAAATACTTTCCAGTATTTGGTTATGTTATGGAAAATAAACTGGAAAATAATTTATTAATATTTTATTTTTCTCAAGTTTATTAAAATAATGAGGAACAAATCTTACAAATTAAAAAGATGAATAATAATGAAATTAAAAAAAAATTCATAAATTATCTCAAATAAAATAAATAATAATCAAAATAATAAAGATCAAATCTAAAAAAAAAGATGAAGAAATTAAAATAATAATAATTAACATTTCATAAAGTATTTCAAATAAAATAAA